CTGCAATAAAAAGTTCAGAATAGTATTTGATCTTATAGAGAAATGAGCCGACTTATTGCAGCCAGTGGAGCTGCCCCCTGCTGGCCATTAGAAAGAATGCAGGTTTAAAACACAAGAGCACTTCCTGTTGCAGACTCACTGTGGAGCGTAGGCCATGCAGAGGCTCGCCAAGTATCCGTTGGAGAAGGAGAACAGCACCATGATGGTGACGAAGATGCTGTCGTGGCTGAAGAAGTTGAGGTTGGAGTTGTGGATGTTACACATCATGAGCAGAGGGATGAAGGCCACACGACAACAGCACGGCGAATGGGAAACGGTAAGTCTTTGTCCTTTCGACGGCCTGCACAAACGTCAACACAGTCAGTTAGAAAACGACGTGACCAACGAGGAATCTGAAACGGCGGAGCAAGGAAGGCGGACTCCTCACCCATTGGACGGACAGACCGGCGCGCTGCGGTCCGAGCAAAGTCACCATTGACCGTGAAAGAACGGCATTGAAGCCAGCAAAAGCAGGTGAAGACTTTTTTTCCTGTTTGGAAACAGACGATACCGATGGAGTGAGAAACAATATCACACCACGATGAGGCTCGTAACTACACTAACACTAACGCTAATACGACATGGACACAGGAAGTGATGCGATGTCTCACCCCAGGCGGGGTTCTTGTAGACGGTCTGCACTCGGACCGTGATCACAGGAAACACCGACAGGGTGACGGCAAACACACACGTCACAGACAGCGCCATCTTCCAGATCTGAGGGACACACAGGGAGATTCAAGATTACTATTAATGGTTACTGCAGTTCCTCTAACGGCCACGTAGACGCTGGCTCCACGCATGGGACGTCTCCATAAGGCTCCATATTAAAACTTTACAGCAGAAATAAACGTGTTTACAACCTGGAACAAATGATTGTTGAAGCCCGGAGGCAGGCTGGAAGTGAAAAGCTAACGTTGGGCTATAAAGATCTACAAGTTGTGAAGTTTTTTAGTTAAAATAGTTTGCAAGAGTATGAACTAGTGTGTAGATGAGTCTCAGTGCTTTAACGTCACCGACAACCTCTGTAGTCTCGTTTTATCCGCTTGTTGTTTTACTGACGTATTTTATGTCGTAGAATAAAATGTCTCAAAATCTCTCAAGAACCAAAAACCCACTGAGGGATGCAGGAAACTAAATTACAGGTTTTAGGTCTCATTCCTGCATCAGTCTATAAAAAAAAAGGCATTTAAAAAGATCAAATGTTTTATAATAATTCCCTGTCTGATACAATATGTGTCAGATAGATCATCGTTCACCTTTTTGAAGACGGCCAGGACGGAGGAACGCTCCTCTGGCTCACTGAAGAAGATCCCCTTGGCCTCCAGCTCTTTAGGATTGTTGTTTAATTCTTCTTTTTCTTTAAAAGGAAATAAATAAAAGTGTTAGTGACTTAAGTTAATAATGTGATTACCCAAACTGACCTTATTCTCTTTGGTATTCAAACTTTGACTCAGATCTGAATCAGAGACTTTGTAAGAACCTTTAAGGGCCGAGGCTTCCTCCGCTGGATCCGACTGTCTTCTGTTCAGGTAGAAACGAGCAAATTCCTGCAGAGGAGAGTCAAAGCTGTCAGAGGGTCCTAATATGTGTGCTACAGAGCCCCTTAAACTCTTATTTATACCATTACAACATTAAAATAAATTATATATGATTGTTCAGGACTTCTGTCAATAGTTGCCGGTTATTTAATCAATAAAACATGATTTTGTTAAAGCTGTTTTCAGATATTTTCACTGTAGCAGGGACACTCGTTTGGTTTAGTCTCAAAAAATTAAATTAAATGAGCAGACGAAAGCTCACCAGGTGCGGCAGCAGCAGGTAACACACCAGCGTGCCCAGAGTGGCGACGCACGGCGTGATGAAGTATCCCAGCGCCGCTATGTTCTCATTGGCGTTACCTGCAGAGCAACAGACACAAGTTCATCCTCTCTGTCAGTTATAAACTGTGATAAAGGTTAATTAACTGATGGACGAATGTATATTATTATAAATGATCAGGATGATTAAATTACATTAAAAGGTTCATATTAATTTATTTTAGATTCTTCTGTAGAAAGAAAGACAGACTTTAACTTTACTAGAATAATCAATAATATTGTGTATTTCTATTAATCAATTCGTCAGTCGACGGCAAATGTATCTGATTTATTTTTTTAAAGAAAAAATGCAGATGGATTGTTTTACAACTTTATGACCGTTTATTGATCACATGATTCATTGATTAACTGTGAAAATGATTGACAGGTTAATCAGAGGTGAAAATAATAATTAGCTGCAGCCCTAAAAAAGTTTTATAATCTGGATCAATATATCAATATCAATAAGGAATCATATTTTAGTTGCTCTGTGAGTTGACGGAAATGTAACTGATTGTGTTATCGATCGTATATGATATCGCTCATATTGATCGTAGAATCAATTATTATAGTATCAAGATGAAATTGGTGATTTACTCCCCTAATATATATAATTATTTGAGTTATTGTTCTTATCACTTAAAGTTATTCTTTATGACCAACAGGTCAGCAGCTGTTTCCAACCACTAGGGGTCGCCAAAGCTTCACAGGGGGGTCACAAAGTGATTTTAAGGTGTGTAAGAAAACGTACGCACAGACGATATCTCAACAGTTTATTTATTTCTGTGAAGCTAAACTAAATGAAGTTGGTGTTTTTAAAGTTTAGATTATTATTTGAGATCTAAATGTTCCTTCAGTCTCTGACAAACATCGTCAGCCTGCGTCAAAAAGGAAGCAGATTTAGTTTGATTGTTAACATTTATAAAACTAAATACTGACAGAAAAAGTGTATTTCTGCTGTTTGTTTGAAACCTCTCAGTCCTGTTGTTGTTGTTGTTGTTGTTTGTGAGTTCAGGTTCAGACTTACTCAGGATGGAGAGAAGCATCGCAACCGCGGCGAAGATCCCGGCCAGACCCTGACCGCTCATAAACAGCGTGCTGTACCGAGGAGGAAACAGGCCGACCACACCGAACAGACTGCCCTGCAGCACCGCGCTGAACACTGCGCACACACACACACACACACAGACAGAGACACACACACACACACACAGACAGAGACACACACACTTATTTTATTAATAAATTGGGCAACAAACAAACATAATTCTGCTGTTTTCTTCTGAATAAACAACTTATTATGTCACAATTATCTTTTTTTTTTGTTTGTCTCCATTTTGGGAGATGGGAAAGAAAAACACTCTCAACTCCTACGACAACGATGATGATGAAGATGATGAAGATGTAAAGACCTTCAGCGTGTGAACTCACTGTTGATGAACCAGATGGTCGCCATGGTGACGGAGAAGAAGGAGTCCGGCTGCATGGGGACGGTGACCAGAGCCGCTGTGAGGGAGAAGAGGATTAAGATGGCGATCAGGCTGAAGGCCACGCGGAGACGCTCCTTCACCCTGCAGAGAGAGAGAGAGAGAGAGAGAGAGAGAAACCCTTCATCCTCCTCTTCCTCAACCTCCTCCTCGTTCTCGTGTGAATGAAACACCGGCTCGCGGCGGCGGCGTGAACTTACCACTGGTACAGGAAGGAGTTGAGCAGGGTGAAGAGCAGCAGGGGCAGCTGGGAAAGCAAGGCCATCCAGCTGTCGTAGTTGTAGTCTTTAGTCGCTGCTGCTGACGTGCTGTTGGACGTGTTGTTGGACATGTTGTTGAGGCGTCCGTTGAAATACTTTAACAAAGAGGGACAAATAATGAATTATACTTTAACTTTGGACACAATCTCAGCTGTAAACAACCTCAAACACAACATAACCCAAAATATTTTGCTGGTTTTAATCCGACTGTCTGTGCTGTTTTCTTTCTTTCTTAACCTCAACAAAAACTGAACTTGCAGAGGCATCAAAGCATCAAAATAATGTGAGTCCACAATCTGGGGATCCATCGAGGCCTCGCAGAACAAAGACTTCAGGTGATACTCTGACCTTTATTTTACTTTCCTTCCTCTCGGTGTGAATAACTAACCTTTGTGCTGTACAGCTGTTTTGTTGTTATTGTCCCCAAATATCTCATCTTCACCTCTCCAGGAACAATATACTGCTACAAGCTTATATGAACTTCATGCTTATACACTTGTCCAGCTCATATATGTTGCTTGTTGTTGTTATTCTCTGTTAGTTAGTCTCTGTGACTGTGATGAAGAGGAAGAATGAAGCAGAAACCTGAGAGGCCGTCATGAAGAAGTTCCAGGGCAGCAGAGTTCCCAGACCGAGCATGAAGATGATGAGGGCCACAGCCTGACCGCTGCAGAAACAAACACACCTTCTTATTTACCTGAACTGACTTCATACAGAAAAATTTTTGATACAAAACATCGAACTCACCTGTCAGTCGGTTTCCTCTCGTTAGGCATCCTGTTGCTTCTTCTGAACCTCTGAATGAAACAGATTAAAGTGCATTTACAGTTCTGTATCGGTAATTATACATAACAATAGAATTTAATCCACAGACTGGAGTCTATTAGACAATCTATGATGATAAGTAACAGCTTTTTTTCAATCTGTGGGCTCAAGCTCTTTGCACTGATTTCTGACAAAGATGATTTCAAGAAAAACGTAAAAAATCTTCCACTGTTGTGTATTTGATGTTGGCCAAATTGAAGGCCGGCAGCTTTTTAATTAGTAAAATATGACAAGTGTTATTCCTCCAGTTGGTAACGCTCACCGCTGCGCCTGAAATCTTTAATTGCAAGATTTGTGAATGGAGACTGGCATTATCCTGCGAAGGGAACATCCACTTAGTTTAACTGCTCATTTCAGAACTGTAAATAGTGTCTAACGGTTTGTTTATAATAACTAATAATAATTCAAATGTCTCATGTTCAGATTAAGGTGGAATCAGTAAATGTTGCTTCTGCTCTCACATTGAGTTTGAATATTTTATTTTAAGGTACTGGAACTGTTCATCAATCCGGCAATTTAAGGGTTAATTTTGGCCTTACATTACGAGATATAAGTGTTAAATGATGAAGAGTAAAATGTGAATTTACAGTAAGATGTGTGTGTTTAGATTGTGGGAGGATTTCAAATCCTTTTAATTGACGTTTGTGTGTTTAACATGCCACACACACCAAACTCCATTGAAAAAACTCACATTTTTAAAATGATTTCGCCCCCAAAAGGCAAGAAACGATACACCATCACACCTTTTACTCTTTTACCTTCAGTGAAAGTACAGTCGGCTTTCTTTCAGAGTTTTATGGGATTTTATTGGATTATTATTGTTGAGTTGAGCTGCAGGCCGCGCCCCTCTCTGCCTGAGTGCATCAGGTGTGGGTGTGTCTCTCAGCCTGAAGGCAGCAGACTGAGTGATACAGGTGGAGATGATTTGGTGATCAGGGGAGTTTGAAGGCACTCACTCACAGGATGTGTGAGAGAAATGGTTGGAGAGACTGGACTTGGGGAAATAAGACTGCAGGACTAAAGCTTGTTTCAATCAAGGAAGAAGGAGCCGGTAAGCTTTCATTTAAGAAGTTAGGAAGATAAGAAATGTGGTGTATTTAAAGCTAAAAGTAATTAGATAAATGTGACTTATGTGTATTTAAAGAGGTAAAGGCTGCTAATGATCGTTAAAATCATCATTGAACAGTGCTTTAAAATGTATTTAATTTATTTTGGCTGCTTTAAGTGTTGGTTTTTTTAGACAGATTTGTAGTAGTTTAAAAAATGAAGTATTTGAGTTTGGGTTATGGTGATTGATTATGGTTTCTACATTTTCTTAAAGGCCTATTTGTGTTTGTATTTAAGGTTCGTCACCTGTTATTGGCCTCGGCAACTTTCAAAATAAAAGAAGGAAAAGGGGAAAAAAAAGAAAGTAGCTGAATCTTGGTCATTGAGTGAATTCCAGTCTGAAGCAAGCTGCAAATGATCATTATTATTATTATTATTATTATTATTATTATTATTATTATTACTGATGTTTAAGCAGCTTTTTAATGATATGAACGCATCATACTGTGTAACTTCACTAATAATATAAGAAAAATCTGTTTTAGTGCACGTGTTGAGAAAATAAACAGTTTAAAATCTCTCCTGGATCAACTGGAAACTGTTTCTCTTATTTGGTGTTTTTTCTTATTTAGTTATTTGGTGTTTTTTTTATACAATTAAACTGAAATGCTTTATGAATGAGTAGAAACCATAACAATGATAACAGCAGTAGTGCATTGTGGGTTGTGACTCATCGTTGCATCATCGCATCCGGTAGCACATGGCGCCTCTCCAGCTGTGCTGCCAGAGTCCGCGCGTTTTCCGCCTGTTTTTGATTTCATTTGGCGGTAAAGTCGTTTCTTTCCGGTTAGTTTCTGATCATTTATTCTACTTTTAATGTCGCAGTTTTACTGAGAAGTTCGGCTGAAGTCCCTCAAACACAGTCCTCCTCCTTCCGTTCATATCAGTCTATTGTTGTTGTTGTTGTTGTTATTATTTCCCTCCACTGTGTACAACAACAACAAGTAGGCTACTGTACTTCTACTAATACACTTGAGGTACTTGTGTTGTACTTTTCCATTCTGTGCTGCTTTATACGACTTAATAAATATATAAATCTATAAATATTGTACTCTGACACTTCCAGTTACCTCTCATATAAAAACATATAAAAACACATAAACATTATGTGATATGATCCAGTTCTACTAATGCTCCCAATTATACACAAACAATGTAAAATAATCTCCTTATTGACATTAAAATCATCTAAGATGCATTAATAAGCGGTTAAAACAGAATAATATAATAATCTATAGTAATATAAAACTATAAAAGGAGACATTATGTGTAAGGAGATCTTTTACTCTGTATACTTTAACTACATTCTGCAGTTCAGTCGCGTTATATTTTAAATTCAGGACATTAATATAAATAAAAAGCTGCCATTGAGTCCATATTGTCAGATCTGGCAACACCACACTTTATTTCCTGGTTACAGAAAGTGAACACAACATACCGGATTACTTTAATATATTAGACATTATAAACGCAGTTATTATAATATCACTTATTAACAGTAATAATAATCTCTATTAACAAAGTAAAAGCGGTCTGAATGTAAATAAAGTCACATTATGTGCCCACGTGGCCGCTCAGTGAGGATATTAAATACAAACAGTTTTATTTATAGAAGCCTGACCGAGTATTAATAACTGTACTAACTGTGACTAATAAGTATTCATTCAACTGAATTGCTAAATTAACGCGTCTTATTCTGCTGATCGCGCCTTTAGCCCCCCCCCCAAGATAGAAACGTGTGAAAGTCAAGTAAATAATAAGTTAAAGTAAACTACAGTGTGAATGTAATATGTTCAAATTATCAAAACAAACAAATTCACTCAGTGATTACTGTCACATTATTGATATAAATGTCACATATATTTTTTAAAAATCTCATTCTGTTCGAGCCAGACACGCTGAACCCGACCTTGACCTTGACCCGGGTCCAGTTGAGGTCGAGATAACAAGCTGCCATGTTATCACTCTGGACTAATGTTCTTCTTATTGTACTTGCCTCCTTGTTTATTTCTTTAAATTTACTTAACGTTATTAAAGTTCTTGTCTCTTTTTTTCCCAGTGTTCGGGGTGGGTGGAGGGTTGGAAGAAGGTGTTTTATTTTCTGTTTTAACACATCAGAAAGGGTCAAAACAGACAAAGTTTTACAGTTTTTCATACTGTTGGTAATGGCTCACCATTGTTTGTTGCCTTTTATTCATTCACTGTCTGTTTAGAGAACAAGATGTTTAGTCCAGTGGTGGTTGTGAGAAAAGTTACAGCTCAGCA